CGCGGCGGCGCGGGGCCGCGGGGCGGGGCCGCCGAGGGCGTGAGTGGGCGAGCGGGAGCGGAGGGGAGGCTGGCTGTCCCGGGGGCGCCTCCGCCTACTTGCTAAATGGGAAGCGATGCCGCTGACCGAGAACTGGGGGCCATTGCCCGGGGCCTGGAGCGAGGCCAGGTGAGGGCGGCGAGGAGCCCGCCGTCCCCGCAGGACCTGTGTCCATGGGTGGGGATGCACAGCTCACCCTGAGCACCACATGATGTCTCATGCGCTCTCCTTTTCTGTTTACTGAAACCAAAGGCCCGGCTTGACGCAGGGTTTCCAGAAACTTGTTTTCATTTGCGCGCCAGACAGCTCCTGGTTTTCCAAAGACCGTTATTACGGGCATCACCTGCCCTTGTTTACAGTCAGTAAGTTCTGCTAGATGGCGAGCTCCGTGAGGGTAGGAATCCCCTGGTTACTGCTGTTAACCCGGCGCCTAGCTTAGGGCCCGCCACGATAGACAGCTATTAATCGGAGGAAGGAATGGAATGCTTGTTTAAGCATCAAAGATGGTACTAAACCAGAGTAAGCTATGAAAGATGTAGCGCTGGTGAAAAAAACAAAAAACAAAAAACTTCCGCGTGTAGATAGGATGGACTGATTTTGTCAGGACGTAGCAGGAAGGGATGTGTGCTTTCTCTCCAAGGTGACAGGGTGGGGGTGGGGGTGCCTGCAGAGGTGTGGAGGTGAGGCAGTACCCGACAAATGGCTGGGAGCTGGGGACGCAGAGCCTCAGGGCCAGGGGAGAGAACGGTGCTCAACAGGTCGACGGGCTGTGATGGGGAGGTGGGAATGCCATGGTCAATTTTATACTCTTGCATGGAGGGCTGTTGAAGATTCTTGAGCAGAGTGGCGATTGATGCTGTCAGCTGGGCAGGGGGCTGTGACAGTGGTCCACCCGAGGGGTCCGACCAGCTGACCTGCAGTAGTGACCCCGGGTTGTCATTGACTACAGAAGAGGGAGTTTATTCCTTAACTCTGGGGATGACGACATCATGAGCTAATTGGGGCAGGTGCCAAGTACAGTTTCGATGTAGGGGCAAAGAAGGTGGATTTAAATTCAACAAATGTTACATTCCTGCTCTGTGCTAGGTGTTTTCATAAGTGTTATCCCCTCATAAGCCCCTCGCAAGGTCAGGACGGTCATCTCCGCTTTCCCCAGAAGGAAACCCAGGTATGGTGGTTGAAGTGATGTATCCAAGGTCACGCCCTGAATGAATGGCAAGAGCTGGGATTAAAACCAGGTCTTCGGATGCAGGCTGCGAACATTTCTTGTTCCATTTAAAGTGGTCTTGGAAGGGACAGGATTTCAGGAACTTCTGAGTGATGGGAGCAGAGAAGCATATGGTTGGCTGTGGGGGAAGAAGTATTTCCCTTCAGTGACACTTAGGAACTAAAGCTCTGTTGCCCCCATGTATCAGGAGACAGAAGTTGAAAGAATGTTGAGTTACTGAAAAGGTATAAATGAACATGGAGGTAGCAACTGTGGGGAAACAGCTACCACCGCTAGGGCTGAGGGAACAAAGGAATGAGGTTGGAATGATTACAGTTTACAGGCTCAGGGGCACCTGGGTGGCTCAGTTAACTTTGCATCCGACTCTTGGTTTTGGCTCAGGTCATGATCTCACTGTTCGTGAGTTCTAGCCCCGCGTCAGACTCTGTGCTGACAGTGCATAGCCTGCTTGGGATTCTCTCTGCCCCTCCCCTGCTCGCTCTCTCTGTCTCTCTCAAAATAAATAAGTAAACTTTAAAAAAAAAAAATTACAGGCCCAGAAGAGAGCCTTAGCAGAGCTGAAATTCCAATCTCGGAGGAGGAAGCACAGCCCCCAAGTACTGCTGGGGTCTCTGAGCTTGGAGGAGGGGTCCTGAGGGCCTGGGAGAGAGAGCCCAGTGATGAGGTTGCCTCTGCAAGTGTTGGCAAGGTGTAGACGGGATCGAGCGGAAGGCGCTGCTGCCGCAAGGGCGGAGTGTTGCTGGGGTGGTGTCTGCAGAAGGAGGAAAGGGCGAAGCCCTTGGCTCCCCAGCCTTGCCACATCTATAGGGCAAAGCAGAGATGTGGGTCGCAGCGTCCCAGCCCCACCCTCACAAAGGTGAGGATGGAGGGGTGGGTTTGGGGCTGCAAGGCAATAGCTTAATACTGGGGACACCCCAGATATCCGAGTCCTGGGTAATTGTTTCTTCTTCCTGCAGGCTGGCTTTGTCCCAGCTGACCACTCCGGTCAGGAGAGAGACACTGAGAAGGCCGTGGATCGGCTAGGCAAGTAGACGGTGGAGACTGGGCTGGATGTGGGGGGAGACCAAGGAATCGAGGAGAGGGACAGTCCCTGTGTCTTGTTTAACCTTCTCTTCCTGGCCAGTTCTCTTTGCTGCCTTTTCTGCCTGGTGTTTCCGTGGCATCCTCCTTTGGAAGCCCCGCTGGAGCTTCCTGAAGGGAAGGCCTCACCTTGTGACCAAACCCTTCCCTTCTATTGAGAAAGACACCACAATCCTGTCTTCATATTCCAAATGAGGAAACCGAGGCTCAGAGTAAAAACGAAAAAAAGATTGTGGTAAAACACAAATATAAAATTTACCACTTAATAATTTTAAAGCGTACAAGCCAGTGGCGTTTCGTACCTTCACAGTTCTGTGCAACCACCACGCTTATTTAGCTCCAGAACATTTTCAGTACTCCAAAAGGTCACCCTGTGACTGATAAGTAGTCCCACCCCATACCCCCTTCTTCCTTGAGCTTATTCAAGATCACCCCCCGCGCCAGACCATTAATCTTTCTGTGGATTTACCTGTACTGGACAGGCGAATGTGAGTTGCGTGCAAATGGAAGGGTACGCTACGTAGCCTTTTGTGTCTGGCTTCTTTCACTCAGCATGATATTTTCAAGACTCATGTAGCATGAATCAGTACATTCCTTTTTATGGCTGAACAGTTCCATCGTCTGGATATACTGCATCTTGGCTGCTTATTCATCAGTTGATAGGCATTTATGAGTTGTTTATACCCTTCGGTGATTGTGAATGATGCTCTTATGAACACTTTTGTACAAGTCTTGCCTAAATACCTGCTTTCGATTCTTTTGGGTATCCGTTCAGGAGTGGAATTGCTGTGCTGTGTGGTGATTTTGTGTTTAAGTTACTGACGAGTCGGTTGAGTACATTTCAGCTCAATCACACAATTCAGAATTGACAGAACTGGGGTTTGGAGCAGGGTAGTTTGGCTCCAGAACCCATGCCCTGACCTATGACTTCTGTGCTTATAGCTGCTATTATTATAAGCGTTAATAGCATGGCTGTTTTTAGGCTGATTCTTTTCCCAGCTCTGACCTGGCATCACCATGTACTTGGGGTCCATTATCCTTCCCCAGACTTTTATTCTATTATCTTGATACCTTTTGAAAGTATACCTTCCAGCTCTCCCCAATGTCAGGAGGAGGAGACGTGGTGGCTGCCTCTGTGGCTGATGGGTTCTGCTCTTCTGCCTGCTTTCCTCCCACTGCCCCTTGTCCTGTGCTCTTTGATGATGAAGAGAGAAATACACGAGTGAAAATTCAAGTTTGTATTGTGAAAGCTTATCATCTGCCAGATGTGCTTTGCCTCAGTTACCTGTAAACTACTTAAATATATAAACTGTGCTCGATTTGCTTGATTCCCTGTGTGCATGATAAGACCTGACAATCAATGGCCTCGTTGAAGGCAAAAGATTTTATTGAAAAGAAATGATCAATCCTACTTCGAAAAATGTAAACAGAACATTTTTTTTTAAGTGCTCAGGTGGCTAAAGAACTCTGTATGCTTGTTTTACTCTTGCCCTCTTAGTATGTCTGCCAAACATTTTCCAAGCACGTGAGTAGTCCCTGTGTAGTTGCTAGTGGTTTTAAAACCTTCCTTCTGTTGATTTCTTAGCCAGTGGAGCACAGAGCATCCCTAATGGTAGTCCTGCCCATGGTGAGGGCACCCACTCGGAAGAGGAAGACTTTGCCGTGGAGGATGAGGATTCTGATGGGGACCTGAATACCTGGGAGCTGTCAGAAGGAGTGTCCGACTGCCCGCCCAAGGAACAGGCTGCTGATCTTTTTAACGAGGACTGGGACTTGGAGTTGAAAGCAGATCAAGGGAATCCGTATGGTAGGTGTGGTGTTTCTAGGGTCCCAGACCAGGTTACCTACCAGGCTACCCCAAAGGCTGACAGTTTGGATGAAGGACCCACATCTGTGAGCTCAGCCTGATAACCTTTTACAGAGCTGAAATTTCTGTGACAGCTTCTCTTTCATGTTGGGGGAAAAATGCAAATTTCACAGTTGACTTTATAATGCATCAGTTTTAACATGAAAGCAATGTTACTCTCCTAGAAATGTCTGTGTGAATCTAGCTGCTGCAGACAGCAGTGCTCTTCTGCGGTTGCTTCCTCTGCACTAAGAACCGTCCTCTGAGAAGCACAGCTTGGGCATGCAATCCTTGAAGGAGGGCTCTGCCTGTGTACTGAAAAAAAATTTTTAATGTTTATTTGTATTAGCGCGAGCGCATGAGCAGGGAAGGGGCAGAGAGAGACGGAGACAGAATCTGAAGCAGGCTTCAGGCTCCGAGCTATCAGCACAGAGCCCGACATTG